AGGGGGGTCCTCTCTATGGAGGCCGCCATGTTTTTTACATTAGTCCAGACTGAACAAACTAAACACCTTTTGAGTTTTTATGACAACTGAAGCTACCACAGGTTCTTTTTCATGTTTGGAAGGAGAGGGTGAGGTGAGGGGTGTTCAGCTGCAACATGCAACTTCAACACTAGATATCACTAAATTCTACACACTGTACCTTTAAGTAACATTTCTTATGTGATAAATTACTATATACGTGAGGTAACTATGTGACAAACGTTCACTAAAGCATTCCAAGATGTTTTGCAGTTCAACAGTGGGATTCATTTCCCATCAAGGCTAATGAAATTGTTTCCATGCTCTGCAATATTTGTCAGTGGTGCCTTTTAGAGAGTGGTACCAGAATGGAGCCTTGAGGAATCCCATTTGTTATGCTAGAGATAGTTAAGAAGTGGTCACCAAGGGGGATGTTATAATCTGTGCTGGACGGATAAATCCTAAACCATTTTAAAACTGAGTCAGATGCTAACACAATAGTTGACTGTATTACTGAGAATGTTGTGGAAATCAACAGCAGCAAAATTATTCATAGCTGTCTTAGGCAATGCTGCATCTGTGGACAGCTTAAAAAAAAACTCCTCAAACACCACCTGTTCACTAAGACCTTTGGCCTCAGTCAACGTTTAGCTCTGTCCTGTTTTGTGCAAATAACTTTTTTTTTCGTCTGTGTGTCCCCACTGACACGTGTGTCCTTGGGTCACTTGAAAGGCACTATATAAATTCAAGCTATTATTATTATTAGGCAGAGGGCTCATTTACATTCATCTAACATTGCTTAGGTCCAAGCAGTTTTTCTTTTGGTGGGGGGGGGGGCTTGTCTTGGGTAAATACAGAAAGCACCTCGACACACAATACTTAGTTCGAATGATTCAAAGTTGGATTTGTTCAGAACATGGGATTTTAGTAGAGCTGTTACAGAATCCAACCAGACGTACCTACAATATGAAAAAAATGAACACACGTAATGTTAAATTTGGTTGTCTGTTCACTTTTGGGACATATTCTTTATTAAAGCTCAAGTTATAAGCATATGTGTCTGATATTTAGTGACTCTAGTCATGAAACTTTTGACATAATGCACATTGTTTCAGTGTTTGTGCTGATAACATTATTAGACACCAGCATGGTCTCTTTCCACAGTGAAGAGTCTTTAGCCTCCACTTATTCACACATAATTGCATTCATTTGTCTAATGACCAGTCGTCACTTCGGAATTCAGGCCCGAAAACAAATGAGCGTGTGTGTGTAGACGTGTGCGTGCGTGCATGTGCGTGTGCATTAATTAAATTCTACTCCTTATCAGTACAAGGTGGTTTGATGTTAATGGGATACCCCTGCATAATTCATGCTGCATATACTGCACTATGTAGGCCTGTGTGTACATCCATAAATGGGTTAAGTATAAGATAGGAGAGCCAGCCACTGCTGCCTGTCTCAGTGCAGCCCGATGGAAACAACCTCGCCACTCTGGCTCCACATTCCAGTCGATCACTCTTTCACCCTTGATTGCAAAAAAACTGCATTTTATGCCTCATTGGGCTTTAGCAATCAGTATTAGTAATAGGTTTTAATCTGTGAATGTAATGACTTTGCAGATGGGTGTCACAGTGCAACGCTGTTTCTCCCTGACCACTTGTCTTCCTGACTGGTCTGTGAAGCCTGGCAGAGGAAGACTCTTCACTTTCTGAAAAAATGCAAGAAGGTGAGTCAGTGTTCTTCTGTCAAGC